TGCTTCTTCATTTAGTATATGAATTAATCCACGCAAAAGTTTTCAACAAACAACATATGGCACGACCTAAATGCTTTTTTAGCAGCCAAAGGATTATAAAAGAAGGTTCCTTCTTTCATGCAGCTTGCCAGCAGTGGGCAGCAACAGGTATAGAAAAGAAGACGATATTATGTTACATTAACCTGTTCACTCTGGAATCCTCTTAAAATTAATTTGAAGTGTGATGCATGAGCCATGAATTTCGTACTTTTTCGAACCGTGATCTACTCTGATAACAGTAACTGGTCCGTGCATTTAATTCTAAAAATGTAATTATGGCCATCTAGTAAGTAGTAATATCAAATTCATCTAACAGCCATTATGTTTCTGCTCTTTTTTCGTTTTTTTAGCCTCAATAAAGCCAATCAATCAATCAATCATCAAGAGGGTTTTTCTTCTGCCATAAAAACCTCTCTCCAAGTAACTGTGTCAAGTTGCTTTTCTCTAACCAGTGCCGTATCATACCCACGTCCAGTAACCATTGCTAAGAGTGTTGCTGAAGGAATGCCAGAGCTGCTCCCTGAATGTGTAGGGTTGTTAACAGCAATAGAAACCAGCTGTGTGAAGCAATCTCTCCTGTCACCCTTTTCCAACGTCCTACCATTAGCTTGGAAAAGCACTCCTTTCAGCACAGCTTAAATGTCCGCCCTGTCTTGAGCTTCGTCTGCTTTTGATTACAGTTATTATCACAAGCTGCTTCTCCTTGTTCTCGCTGTCTTTCTACATGTCTGCATGTGTGTATCTGTCTTTTGATCTTCCCCTCAGGGAAGCGAGCCTTTCACCTCCAGATTCTAACCCTGCTGTTGTTGGAGGCATGCTTTGTAATTCATCATCGGCTTTGTGTGTTTGTGTGTGTGTGTGTGTGTGTGTGTGGTGGGTGTTTGTGCGGGTGGCTGTACAGTACTTGCTAAGCTCTATGAGGTATTTCATGGACTAAGGGAAGCCAACCAAAGCAGAGCAACAGGAGTTGGGTTACACCCCTAACAAGAGCTGTAAAATCATCCAACCCCAAACACACTTGCATAAGACCGCTTTAGTGAACCACCGGCTGCCGCTGATCAGGATGTTTAATATCCTCAGCCTTAGAGTTCAATTTGGAGACGTGTTTCCAAAGCGTTGGTGTTATTTTTGGGCTTTGGCTCACCAACTCCTGTCTGCAGGATTCAGGTTAATCCCTTTTTGTGTGGCAGACTTGGAGTTGTTGGCAAAGACAAGGCTGAAAGCTCCAAGTCTGTAAATCCGTCCAGGTCATCGAGATAGACAAGACCTGGTCAACAAATACGGACTGGCATTACCCTCTCTGTAGGACATAAGATCTTAAGTGGTTTTGCCTTTTGTTTAACATCAAACTTTTATTGCCTTTTAACAGTATCTCATTATCTCTTCTTTAGCCTTTCACTTTAAATCGTCTTTTTAAAACCCTGCAGGTTTGCTTTTTCTCATCCACTGACCTTTGGTAAACCCCAGCCCTGCAGATACAGTGTAATAAAATGAGGCTGTAATAAATAACTTGAGATGAAACCCATTGTCTGCCGTGAAAATTAGATGAATGCAATTTAGAACTGTCCAGATTAGCATTAATCGGCTGCAACACGTGCACACACACACCGTGCTCATTTAGGTTAATGACTGCTTTGCTTTGAGTCTTTGTCTGCTTGTGTGTGAGTCTGTGAACCTTTGACAGGTCAGTGATACATTCCCATGTCAATGTGCAGAGATCGAGGAGTGGGTTTCCATTAAGTCTTCACTGGTGGATCATAAATCAAAGCTTCCAGCGGTAGAACGTAACCCCAGTTTCATAAATTTTAGCACAAAAATAATTCTTATTTTTCATAAAGTTTTTAAAACAATAAAAAAAAATAATTTAATTTAAATGGTCTTGGGTATTCAAAGCTTTAGACATTTATAACTGAATTGACCATCAATCTGAACCTAAGGCGTGACAATTTTCCCATGATCTACTCTGAGAAATTATCATGTCAAACAATTAAATGAGGCTAGATAAAGCCTGATCGATTTATCTTTATTTGCAGTTATAAACTATTTCTGATTGTCCCAAAGACAACAAAATTTAGAACTACAGTCTGACCAATAATTGTCAAGCATTGGTTGGATAATTATAATAATCAGTCAAATTTAAGAATCTGATAATTTTCTGGTTATTGGCTCTAATTGATAATCAGCAAGTCTCTTCCTTAAAAAATCATACATTTTTACTTTATTCATTATGTAAACCTATTTTTTATCACCTGTTTAATATTAACAGTATATACAATACGACATATGTTTATCAACACATCAATGTGCTGTAAATTTTTCATTCTGTTTATTTCAGACTCCCATCTTTATTCATTTCAATTTACTTTATCTATATAGCTCAAATTCACAAAAGGTCACCTCAGGGCACTTTGCAATTGAAACCAGATCATACAGTCAGATTGGTTAAAGGTTTTCTATCTAAGGAAAACCAGCTGATTACATTGACTCATTCACTCCAAGGCAATCTCTCACAATATCGACAGCGGACAGGGAAAAACTCCCTTTTAACAGAAAGAAACCTCCAGCAGAACCAGGCTCAGTGTGAGCGGCCATCTGCCAAGGCAAACTGGGGTTCCATTAGACAGAAGCAGACATAGAAAAAGAAGCATAGATTAAAAAAAAGGAACTGTCAACCAGCTCCACAGGCGCCCCTCCAAGAAACGCACAGCGAGCTCCGAGCCAGCTTCAATGCCATAGGATGAAAAAGAGCACATACAGTTAGTCACAGTCAGAGAAGCTGGACTACACTGAAAAACAGGCTAGGCTCCAACATCTATAAATAAAGGTGTGGATGGCAGCAGCACAGTTGATATTTCTCTCCAGTATGGTGTCACAGCCAAACAGGAACAGACCAGATGAAGCTACAATGAGGAAAAAGCAGAGTGAGCAGAACGTTAGAGGTTGAAGTAACAAATACTGCAGAATGGGACAATAGAGAGAAAGATAAACAGGGTTCCCTATTTCCTCCAGCAGTCTAAGCTTATAGCAGCATAACTATAGAGATAGCTCAGGATAACCTGAGCCACTCTAACTATAAGCTTTATTAAAAAGAAGCCTACCCTTAAAAGTAGAAAGACTGTCTGCCTCATTGACTAAAACTGTGAGATGGTTCCATGGGAAGGGGAACGTACAGTGCATTTTGTTTCTTCGTAGAAGAAAAATCCAAATTGACTTTACCAACTTCACAAGAAAACCATAAAGTTGTCCACATGGACTACTTGTCTGGAAGAATTTTTTTTAGACAGGTATCTAAGAATCTGAGAAGTACCAACCAATTAGAGATCTGAACTGTCGATCAGCAGGTGAAGGTCCGTGGCGACAGTGGCGTTGGATGTTTGAGTTTGCCCTGAAATCGAAGGGTTGACGGTTCAAGCCCCGGCTCTGACTTTCATTGTCGTTGTGTCCTTGGGCAAGACACTTCACCTGCATTGTCTACTGATGGTGGTCAGAGGGCCCGGTGGCACCAGTGTACGCCAGCCCCGCTTCTGTCAGTGAGCCCCAGGGCAGCTGTGGCTACAATGTAGCTTGCCACCATCAGTGTGTGAGTGTGTGTGTGTGAATGAATGTGGTGTAAAGCGCTTTGGTCAAGTCTCCTGAAAAAAGGTGCTATATAAGTACATGCCATGTACCATACATTGTTGGTTACATCCACAAGTCTCAACTCAGAAAAATCCCATTAGCAGATCTTTGCTAACTGGTACTGATGACATCAGAACTGGCTAGTTAAAGGAGAAGTTCGGTTTTTAACACTTTTAGCCCATTTTCTGTAGTGTCCAGGATGAAATCGAATGATCGACACCAAAATTTTGACAATTGGTCCTGTCTCTGCTTTTTGGCTCATTTAGAATCCACCCCTGTCTGCTTTAGAATGGCTTCCATAGAGCATGTCCGATAATGTCCTTAAAACAACCTTAAACGTTCTTTTTTTTAAATATGCTACTCACCGGGTCGTCAGCGCCGTTCAATGACGTTCCAAAAAAAGTTTCGTAAAGAAAAAACGTTCCTGTAGTGTTTTATTTAGCATTTTGTAAATCCCATTGAGTTCTGTTGGAATAGTCAATATTCCCCTGCCACCGGAAACGGAAATGGGGCCTGTTTACACAGTTGTAGTCTTTTCGCTTCACTCTGTGTACTCCGACGTCGAGAATCAAGAATCCACCTTTCGTATTCCATTTTCAGAGTTTTTTAAAGTGTTTAACAGAGACGTTAGCACCTCGACGTCGGAGTACACAGAGTGAAGCGAAAAGACTACAACTGTGTAAACAGGCCCCATTTCCGTTTCCGGTGGCAGGGGAATATTGACTATTCCAACAGAACTCAATGGGATTTACAAAATGCTAAATAAAACACTACAGGAACGTTTTTTCTTCACGAAACTTTTTTTGGAACGTCATTGAACAGCGCTGACGACCCGGTGAGTAGCATATTAAAAAAAAAGAACGTTTAAGGTTGTTTTAAGGACATTATCGGACATGCTCTATGGAAGCCATTCTAAAGCAGCCAGGGGTGGATTCTAAATGAGCCAAAAAGCAGAGACAGGACCAATTGTCAAAATTTTGGTGTCGATCATTCGATTTCATCCTGGACACTACAGAAAATGGGCTAAAAGTGTTAAAAACCGAACTTCTCCTTTAACCCAGTTGATCAGCTGTGGTCAGCAACTTAGTGACTGAAAATCACATTTTCTGGCTCATTCACTAACCAACAACTTAAAACTCCCATCATTTTCAGTCAATAAACATTTACCTTAAACTTTTTCATGTTCATCAAAATCATATAAGTTATGGATATTTAATTCAGTGTACTTGTGAAGAAAATATTTAGGCTCACATGTCTTCATGTTTTGGGGGGGATTCTCAGATAGTCTACCTGCTGTAGAACCATTGTTAATTTCCTTCCATCTTGCTGTGTTTCTGTTGCAGGTTCATCACTACTACAGCTCCCTGCCTGAAGACAAGGTGCCCTACGTAAACAGCCCAGGAGAGAAATACCGCATCAAACAGCTGCTCCATCAACTTCCACCCCACGACAATGAGGTGAGAGTCCTGACCAGCCCTCTCCCCCGTCAACCCCCCAACCGCATCCATCCACTTCTCCCTCCCCCACTGCTCCTCCTTCAGGCCATTATAGAGATAAGAGGGGAGCGGAGATTAGACAGGCAGGAGAAATGGGGCAGTTTTGTTAATGGATGTGAATGAGACGGAGCAATGTTTGTCGCCACTTATTGAGATTTGTTACATTATTAAATCATTACCAGGAGTAGTCTTAAAATGGCAGCGCTTTAGGCATACGGCACGCTTGGCTTTAATTGCTCAATTTTTTTTTTCATGTTTTAACACCATAGCCTTGTCTCAACATGGTGGGCAAGCGGTCCATTCTAATAATCTGACTGACTAAATAAATAAATGCTCAGAAAGCTGCAACAATAGACATGATCTCAGAGGCCGAAAATGTTTTGACTCACAACATAAGGAATCCACAGACTTCAACCCATGAACCAGACAAAGGTTCTGATCAAAGATTTAAAATGATGCACAAAAACATGAGAACCTTTGTATTTTATTGCACCTGTTTTGCGTTAATAGACAGAGAAATCCAAAGTAGATAACACCATGTCCTCAACTCATCTTTAGTGTCATGGTTCTGAAGAATAACTGCATTGTTACCTGTTGGTAATAGTTCTTTATCAGCTGTAGATGGATCTAATATTGCTATTATACAGCATCAGTGACACTTTGCAAACGCATAAAAGCTTATCCAGCCTGTTTATCAGCATTAAAGATGACCTTTCTGTGCTTTTCCAGGCTGAGAAGAGGATTTTACTTGCAGAACACGTTTTGCAAATGAAATCCCTTATTAAGAAATAAAGGATTGTATAGAACACGTCATCGTTCGTCCTATGATCTACTCATGTTTTTTGCACATTGCAATGAACCAAAAGGTTCCAACACGGGGGATGAGGTGAACCCACCAGTATTGCATCCTGAAATAGCTTGGGAAAGGGGAAATAAACCCAAAACTACTGAGTGCTGTTTGCAAAAGGAATGTCAAGTAGGCACATGACAATGGATGAAGACAGTAGCCAATGTCCATCTGATGTGAGACACGTATTATTCAGAACCTGATACATATGAAATCTTGAGGACAGCTCACAAACACGTGTCCTTGAAAACATGGATCAATAACTTTAAACTAAAAATTTATGTGCTTTAAAGCTAGAATTTGACATTGTACATTCTTATCAACCTTTTGAGCTCCACAGAGCAGAATCCCATATCAGTTTGATGATTTATAGTGTGGTTATGTTTGTGTGTAGGTACGCTACTGCAACAGCCTGGACGACGAGGAGAAGAGGGAACTCAAGCTCTTCAGCAACCAAAGGAAGCGGGAGAACCTGGGCCGCGGCAATGTGCGTCCATTCCCTGTGACGATGCTGGGGGCCATCTGTGAGCAGGTAGCTTATTTATAACCCCTCAAAGGCTTCATTTTACATTTGCGACCGTGAGCAATGTTTTCACTTCTAAATGATGTGGTGGGATGAAGGAACCAAAACTATGAATCGCGTTGCTGACACATGGAACATTCTGCTGGGATTTCAGCTCCGGTGATGTGTAGGACAGCTGCTTTATGTTGACATGTGAAGGGCAAAGCTCCACATTTGTTCTCCAACAACACCCTGACCTTTTCTATCTTACCTTGGAGTCTCATGCTGTGGAGCTTCCTGCAGAGGGGTCTACATTTTACTCTCGACCGTGCTAGCTGTCAAACTCCACTCTTTTGGTCTAAAACATAGCATGATATATTGTCTTCTAGAGCTAAATCAGTGTTAAAACCCCTTTGTTGTTTCTCTTAAGTATCCAGTGTGCCATGAAACGGTGAATATATTGCTAATATGTTCTCGTTTAGCATCCTTATGGGAGCGGTGAGTGTAATGGAGCGTTCTTTTAACAACAAAGCTGCACGCTTCAGCACTGGTTGTGTGGAGAACAGGTTGAACTGAAGCTAAATGGTTCTCACTATGTTTGCATGCAGCAGCGTTATTGTGTACGGTTCTTGTTCAGATTGCATAGATAAAACTGCATATTTACTAAAAGAGGCAGTAGCATATCAGTGAATTTGCATTGTTGTCCTTTCTCTGGGTTCAATGGATCATTTACCTGCTGTTTAAGTTTAAATAGGCTTAATGTCAGAATTTAGTTGCAGGATACTTTCCTTCAGGACATTCAGCAAGAGAGGAGAAATCAATGCTCCATCATTTGAGTTATAAAAGTTATAAAACAACAAAGCAACATTTGACCATCACACTACCACCACCGTGTTCTGCTACATTGTAAATTTTTGCAGCAGATATAATACGATGCACACATTCTTCGTTTTGCTCATCAGTTCACAGATTTTTTCAAATTTCAAAAAGGTGTTTTTGGTAATCGTGAGATGACCTTTGCTTTTTTTTTGTTTCTTGTTTTGTTTGTTTTTTTGGGGTTTTTTATGCCATCAGGACTGACCCTGGCTGAGGGCAGTTAGACCTGCTGGAATTTTATGCTATTCTTGGTTCTTTTGTGACCCTTTAAGGTGAAATGCTTTTTTGAGTGTGGTTGAATGGCCTCTTAAGAGTAGGGTTACCCCCATTCTGTGTTTTTACATTTGTAGATTATGGATCTTACATTCGTTCTCAGATGTCCCAAAGCCGTTTACTCCAACCAGATCGATAGATGTTAGTGACTTTGTTTTTCAGCCTTCCTTTTCATATAAGGTTCAGTTGTTTTTGATACATTTTTCTCATGTTAAGATTCTGGGATAAACGGGGGTTTACAGAGGTGGAATTAACATGATTGAATATTAAACTTCAGACAATTCTTTCTCTAAATAAACTATGAAATTTCTCTTTCAACTTCTTTTCACTTTCATCCTGTCATATCTTTCCATTTTATTCCATAGGTCACCTCCCTAATCTCCATTCTCCTCATGTTTCCAGTGAAATGCATAAACTAACAACAGTTTTATAAACCTGATCAAGGTTCCAATTTGGCCCTGATCAAATTAATCAGCAGATTGAAAGGATTATGAACTTACATGGCTTCTCAGTTGCTGGATTGTTTTGTTGATCAGTCAATCTCACGAAATATGTTTTTTATTTTGACTTTTTTTTTTTTTTTTTTAAACAAAATGACTTGACATGGAAAACACCAATTTGAATAACTGATGTAACAGTTCTGGTGTTTACAAATACCTTAACATTACAGGTAAAAAAAAAAACACTACAGATCCTATAATAATGCCATTAGTAAAATAAAAGCTAAATGTAAACTCAAAAATATGGATGTGGGAATTTTGGTCCTATCTTCCAAAAGTTATTTAACTTTGTTTGAGATTTGGACTTTTAACTGCTATATGGCAGCTCTGTGTTTCCTTTTCAGCCATTTTGCCTTAGATTTTCTGCTGTCGTATTTGAACCTGCTGCAGATACTTTTCAATACAGAGAGGTTTGTGGTTTAAGGTGAACAGGTCCTGTTTACAGATCCAAACCCTCCACCTCTGTCCTTCATAACTAGTCAGAGAAATCTGTGCAGGTATTTTGTGTTTCGTTATAACTAAATAATACTCATTTTCATCTAGAGAGAAGTGTCTTGTAAATATGGTGTAATGTTTACTTCAGGGAGTACTGGTAGAGGCCTCAAATCATTTCCATTTGAGAACAACCTTTTATCTCTGAACTTTAAACTACTTTCCTTCTTATTCTTTCTTTAAAATCCTGTTTTTTTTTTTGTTTTTTTTCCTCTTTCCTCAGTGTGGAGGACAGATCAACGGTGGTGACATCGCTGTATTTGCATCCCGAGCCGGCCACGGCGTTTGTTGGCACCCTGCCTGCTTCGTGTGCAGCACATGCAAAGAGCTCCTGGTAGACCTCATCTACTTCTACCAGGACGGGAAGATCTACTGCGGCCGCCACCATGCTGAGAGACTGAAGCCACGATGCACGGCCTGCGACGAGGTATAGGCGTGCAGACACAACAACCCTGCAGACAGATGACAGTTTATAAATAGCTACAGATGTAACAGCCTCTGAAAGACTATTTATAACCAATTTACATGCAGAGACAGCCTTAAACAGCTGTCACATGATGCTAACAGGCTTTTTTTATTTAATGGGGCCAGCTACCAGTAGGCCGATGATCTTAACATTAACGCTAAATGAGTTGCTGTGCAAATGGGAGCAGGGACACTGCAGCACTTAAGAGGCACCCTGAAGGTTTTAAAAGCAGTTCAATTAAAGCACCTATATTGCACAAAGTCCCCACTCAAATTAGCCTCCTACTCAAGTCAGACACAAAGATGATCTCACAGTTTGAAGCAGCAGACATAAAGTGGAGCGTTTAGAGGTGGCAGAGGAGCAGAGTCATTTAGCACTTAGTAATTACCCTACCCGTGATCAACTATTGTCTCTCTTCATCCTCAGATCATTTTTGCAGATGAGTGCACCGAGGCTGAGGGTCGGCACTGGCACATGAAGCATTTCTGCTGCTACGAATGCGAGACGGTGCTTGGAGGCCAGCGCTACATAATGAAGGAGGGAAGGCCATACTGCTGCTCCTGCTTCGAGTCTCTCTATGCCGAGTATTGCGACTCTTGTGGGGAGCACATCGGTACGCTTCTTGCAGACAGGTTTCCAGCACTTAACGACAAAGTGTCAGCCATAGAGGGGCATTTGAGATCTTAAGTACAAGTTTTGGAAAACTTTCAAGTAGCTTAAAAAAGTGAAGTGAAAGTGAGAAGTTAAGAAAATTTTCTTAAAGTGTGGTGTGCATTTTTTTTGTGTCAGTATTATTGTTCGAGAAAATTAAGGAACCCTTTTCTGATGGAGCGGACTACATCATTTCTGTTGCAACAATCAGTTCAAGCAACAACCGGTCCACTTCATAGTTTAACTCAAGCCATGAAGGAAGTCAGAATAAGCTAAGGAGAAAGTGTTCTGATCAGATGAGACCTAAACTGAATTTTCAGACTTCTATGCTGAATGCTAGTGTTAAAGACAAGTACCTGCCCCTCCCTTTCTTTTCTGTGTGAAACAGACATGGCAGCATTATACTGTAGGGAGGCTTTTCTGGTTAAAGTTCATGGTTACCCTCCAAAATAAAAACCTTTTGGATGCTGCTAAAGACAAGACTTAGGAGGAGGTTTTTTTCTCCCAGCAGGACAGCGACTCTAAACAGTCAGAGCTTCAAAGATATGATTTAGATCAAAGCATCATCAAGTGTTCACATGTGAATCCAACTGAAAACTGAGTGCAAAACTTAAACATTGATTTTATTCATCTAATCAGGCTGAACTGAATAAGGGTGTTAAGTATAGAGTAAGCCGGTAGCTACATATCTTAAGTGTCATGCAGCTGTAATGAGTCCCTCATAGGTGGGCTGCTCTAAAATGCACCAAACATTCATTTAAATGATGAGGTTTTTTTTATAACTCTAAAAGCTATATAATTATGATTTCATGTTCTAATAGATAATGTTACAATATTATACTTTCTGATTTTGTTGAACTGAATTTCTTTAAAAATGTACTGGATCAATTTTTTTTAAAGATTTTAATTACCGGTAAGTGTTAGAACAGCACTTTAAGCATTAATATGATTATCATCAGGTATCCCTCCTGAGATGCCTGATGATAATCACCATCTTTTTCTGCTGGTTTACTCTAATTATAAGCCAAGCAGGATGCTGTAAAGTATTTAACTAAAGCAGTGCTGAACTACCACAGGCTGCTTTACAACCAGATGGAAATCATTAGCAAATAGCTGCTTTTCTTTCCCTCATCTGCTGAAAACATTCAGAAAAAGTTGCATGTTTATGCAGTTCTGGGCAAGTTCCATAATGAGTTTGCCCCACAGCACCTCGGTTTCCACCTCGTTCTCTATTTTCTCAGTCTGCAAACTACTTAGAAATGTCCTGCTTTTCACATAGGAAAGCATATTTAAATAAGCCTTGTAACTGTCATTAAAAACCTCTACATTTGTGGTGGAGTTTTAAGCACTTTTTGAATATGCGGGATTTTGCTTAACCCTTTATCATTTCGTTTTTTTCTTTTTTTTTTTTTTTCCGTGTGTAGGAATCGATCAAGGCCAGATGACGTATGACGGGCAACACTGGCATGCCACCGAGGGCTGTTTCTGCTGTGCCCGCTGTAAACGTTCCCTGCTTGGTCGGCCTTTCCTGCCCAAACAGGGACAGATCTTCTGCTCGCGCTCCTGCAGCTTGGGGGAAGAGCCCAACGGCTCCGATTCCTCTGATTCCGCCTTCCAAAGCGCACGCTCCACCAGGGAGTCCAGACGCAGCACCAAAACGTCAAAAAGCGGTGGAAGCTGCCAGCCAGAGAGGTTTTCAGGCGAGGTGGACCCACTTTCTTTACAAATGGATTTGCTGAGTCTTTCCAGTCAGACCCCTAGTTTGACTCGTGAGCCACCATCCTGGCAGAACCAGGAAATAACGGGTGACGGGTACAGCTATGAGCCACAACACGATCAGTCAGTTGACCCTATTCCCCTCCAGCTCCTCAGCCAGTGTAATATAAGGAGCTCTGGACACTCTACCTCTGGACAGAGCAACCAACAGCATGTCCAGATGAACAATGAGAACGGTGGTTTAAAGCGCCCCCCCATCTCAGCCATAAAAGGCCAGTCCCTCAATGAGAGTTGGCTCCAGCAGGGAACTCCAGAGGATTGCTACCCATCCAAACTGAGGACCCAAAAGAGCTTAACTGAAGTCCACCACAACGGCTTTTCCTCAGAGAAGCGTTCCATCAGTTTCCATGGCTTTCAGAGGGACAGAGATGGGGCGCCTCAGACAGCTACTCAGGTGGCAAGAAGCAGGAACCCCATTAATGCACTTAACTTCACAGAACAGCTGACCCCATTGGAGCAGACCCCAAGAGGTTCCATGGAGTCCTTGACTTTTTCCAACACTATGGGTGGGTTTGGAAACATTAAGTGCTGTAAAAATATGCATTTGCCTTCTGAGAGGTTGATTCTTTTTTTACTTTTCTGTCACATCTCAGGGTTTCAAATCGAGTTGACTAATCCTTCACGTTAATTGTAAAGCTGAGCTAAATTTTACATGTTAGTAGCCAAGCCTTATTAGTGCCAGACCTACAGGATAACTAACTAGTATAGATGGCATGATCTGACTGTAAATGATAATAAATGCATTTACAAATACAAAATGTAGATTAAGTAGTTGGAAAATAATCCAAACATCACCAACAAGTCCATTTCTGATTGGCTTAAAAGAATTAAAACTTCGATCTGGAGTGGCCTAGTCAAAGTCTTGATTTAAATCTATCTGTGATGCCGTGGCCTTGCCCCAAATAGGCTAAAACGACCATCCGTGATGATCCATGATTCGATATATTATAAAGACGGACCAAATTTTTTACACAACAATGTAAATATAAGAGCAAATTATCAGTTTCCATCAAGGCTAGCACTTCTAGCTTACACAGTGTTTGGTTGGTTTTGCCAACTCTTATCAACATGAATGAAAATATAATTTAAAAACTGCTCTATGTTTTTTACTTATGTTATGCATACAGAAAATGTATCTTTGTCTGATATAAAAATTTGTCTATTGATCTGACAACCACGTGATTAAAAATGTTTAGCCTTGTAGTCATCAGATACTTTCCACCTTACCCTATTTTGACACTTAATTTGCATGTTTATTTTGTTTTAATGGTAGTTTTTAGAAATAAAATTCAAACACACTGACTACTACCCTATTTATTCACAGGCAACTCAGCAGACGGTGGGGGAAAGCATCAGGACCACCTCTCTCGGTTTTCCATGCCTGACCTGAGTAAAGACTCAGGAATGAATGTGTCTGAAAAGAGCAACATGGACACTCTGAACTCCTCCATGCAGTTTCGCAGCTCAGAGTCTATTCACAGCTTAAACGGCAGCCAGTCCTACCTGGAAGTGAACCCCCCCAGGTCTTCCCAGTACCAGATGCAGTATTGTGACCCTCCAGGAATGAGAGTTGGTATGGGTCTGAATCATCTGCCTCCAGGCTTCACCTATCAGGAGGAAGACCGGATGGTCAGCAGCGCTAATGCTGCTCGCCTGCCGCCCATCAGTGAACGCAGTGTAAGTGGTGTCAGTGGACGTGGAGCAAGCGTCCGGACAGATGCTCCAGAAGACGCCTCTCAGAGGCGTCGGCACCACCATCACCGCCAGCGAAGATCCCGCCGCTCCCGCTCTGAAAATGCTCTGAACCTTGTGGCGGATCGTAGGGTAAGGCCCCAAGAAAGACCGCCGCTGAGTGTCAAAGAAGATTATGATCGATTTCCACCACCAAGAAGTGTCAGGGGCCAGTTTGGAGCTGGAGGACAGGGAAGGTACCAGCCTTTTAGGCAGTGCCCCAGAACCACTTCAGACCTTTGTCTGCAGAACCCAGGAGCCAGCAGACGCCCTGGATTAAACCAGTACTCCTGGGATGAGTATTACAATGATGACTGGTGCTCCACCTGCTCTTCATCCTCTGAATCCGAGGAAGAGGGTTACTTTTTGGGCGAGCCAATCCCCAGGCCCATCCAGCTGCGCTATATAAACAACCATGAGATGGTCCACAAGTACAACAACATGGGGTTTGGAGGACCCAACCGCAGCGGGCAGCTCCACACCCGCAAACGCAGAAAAAGCAAGAACTGCATTATATCTTAACATCCGGAGCCTGTCCACATGACATTTCTTTTTGTTTATCATGACTAAACTAGCATTCTCCATTAGAAACAAAGAAATGTGTTTTTTGTGTGCAAGGTATGACATAGTTGAAATTTGCTAATGAGTTAAAGCTGGTAGGCCATTTCAAAAAAAGGCAACGTGGTTTTTCATTTTAATGTTTCATATTTCTATGTTCACTTATATCAGTGTTTATCAAAAGCTGATGTGCAATTTATCTAAAACATCTTTCTTTTTGATGCAGACATTCATAATATGTTTGGTAGAGTTTTATGTTTCCAGTGGAACCTAGATGGATTTTCAGTTCTATTAAAGTTCATAACCTGTACATAGAAAATGAATTATTAATTTCTCCTAAATTAAGAAAGTGTAAATATGATTGTAAATGTGGGGCCCATATTTTTATATTTTGTAAGGATAGAAGGAGCTAAATGTCTATGATGTAGAGATAGAACCTAACAAAAACAACGTTTGCATGTAGTGTTTGGCTGACTTGGTGCTGCATTTGAAATAAAGGAGTATTTCAGTAAGATTTGGAACAACAGCCAGTGTTTCTCTAGAAAGGAACAACATATGGGTGACAAAGTGCAAAACGGCTCCAGTTTTAATCTGCTGAATACATAAAATGACAGACGGTGTGGTTGTGGGGGCTGATTAGAGTCATCCTCTGGATTGTTAGCGGGTGATGGGGCAGTCACAGTCAAACTCTATTGTCCTGCTAACAAATGAGAGATTATTTCATCAACTCTCTGGGCTGAAGAAGTTGTTTACTAACAGTTTGGATGTCAGGTTATTAAAACCAGGTGATGTTTTCATGAAAGTTGTAAGACAGTTTCAGAAAGCCAATTGAAAATATGCTGACAATGGGATGAAATCCTAGACAATTCTTTTAGTCTAGATTACTATTAGAGAAATCCACCCATCCATTTTCCTTCACGCTTATCCCAGTGGGGGTCGCATGGCGGGGTTCACCCTGGACATGTTGCCAGTCCATTGCAGGGCAACACAGAGACAAACAGGACAAACAACCATTTACACACACCTAATGAGAATTTAGAAAAGCTAATTACCCAACAGTCATGTTTTTGGACTGTGGGAGGAAGCCGCAGTACCCAGAGACAACCCACACATGCACAGGGTGAACATGCAAACTCCAGGAAGATCCCGGGCCTGGAATCAAACCTGTAACCTTCCTGCTTCAAGACAGCAGTGCTACCCACTGCCCACTATGCAGCCCTGTCACTTTGAAGCCTTCCTTATCTTAAAATATTTAAAAACATTCTCATCATGTATGATATTTCGAATGCTGCATTACATGTTTTTGGCCCCTTTTTTTGTCCCATCAGACATATTTGCAGAACTGGCCTGTTTACAATTGTATATTTGTCCTGACGGGTCCAGTCTTCAATAAACTCTTGTGTGGTTTCTGTTGGGAGATGTTTTCATACTAAGGTACGTAATTCTAACTTTTTTAAATGAAATTTTTTTTAAACAAATACATTGATGTGTGCGCCTATAATCAAAGGATAATTTGCTTAAGCCCTCATTATGTGGAGTATTGGTCAAATTAACCTAAAGCGACTGCTACAGTCCAGTATGTGACTTTGTTGTGACGGAGAAAAAAAACATACACTTTTTCCCCCTTTATAAAGATCCATAGAGTTTGATTGGATTAACCAATTGTGTTCATTGTCTATAATAAAGCTTTGCAACGGGTTTAGAAAAGTTTGGCATTAAAAGGAAAAATATGGCTGAGCTAATTAAAGCTCTGAGTTGTAGCTGACACAAAATCAGGTTGTGGACAAGTGGTTAAAAAAAGTTAACATTGGTCAAGGATGTTTCTGGCCGTAATAAAAAAAATAAATGTTATCCATCTTTAAATAACCTTTCCAGTGTTTCATCCTAATCTTATCTACGTATCTTATTAACTTAATATTTAATGATCTAGATTGAACATTGGTCACTGAGGAATGAACTATTTTCTCATCTACCCTCCACAGTAGATAAAACTAAAATCCTAAGGTAATGCTTTGAAAAAGTAGCTATGAATAAGTGTTGGCTGCATTTTCTGTAATATGTGTTGTTCAGTGCCTCTTTTAAAGACATTTCAATTTGAGCCACATCTCTGTTTACCTCAGCTTCTCTGATATTGCAGATAATTTGGTATTTTCAGATTAATTTAGGCAGCATTCACCTCTTTTGAAAACAAATTGCTCAAAGAAATTGTTCATGTTTGAAAGAAGGTTCCATTGATATATTTCTAGCAGTTGAATGAATTAATTTATTAATGAATGAATAGGAATTTGCTTCAGACAATGTGATAATCAATGAATCAATCAATCAACCATGTGCAAACAAAAGAGACTGGTGAACTTCAAACCAAACACAGATTTCCACACTAAACTAAAGGCACCTGAGCATAAATAGAAACAAAACCCTTCACCAAATAAACCTGTCTGTATATACAGCTACTCCTCCCACAGTTTTCCCTTCTCTAATGATATAATTAAACTCATAACCCTCTAGCTCAAAATTAGCCCCTTTCTAATGAGTGATCCATGTTTCAGAGATTGCTATGATGCTGAATGGCTGTTTAAAGTGGATCAGACAGTCTTTGCTGTTAAAGTTTGCAAATAAACTGTCATAAAATGTCATAGAAGAAGTTGTTATCTGGATGAATATCATCTTCTAAGTCCTGACTGTTATAATTCGTGTAGCTGAATGTTTTCAGTTCCTGGTTATCAGCACTAACAGTTGTAGGTGTTAGTGTTGTGTCTACAAGTGAACAAGAAAGGAAATCCAACACTTTCCTTATCTCCTCAAATCCCCCAAGGCTGGATTCTTCTTAGGGCCCATACTAGCAACAGGAATTTAAACACTGTCACATCTTTAACACATCTTTGTTTTGAGCTGATAAGACAATTTGCAAATGGAATAAGATGATTTACACTAAGAGAAAGATATTTAAAAATATCTAGTGTTAAATGCATATACATATATATATTATTATAAGAGCAAAACTACTCATTCCGTCTAAAGAATATCTTATTAACCTGTTCAAATTAAGGGCAAACACACTTTTTTTCTTTTTTCGATCAGCTTTTATTGTAAATAAATGTATTAGATAGACATAAGGCTAAAGCAGACTGCTAGTCTGAGAGGAGATGAGATCAAAGCCGATTTCTACCATCTTTAAACAGCCTCAGGTTTAAAAACGTCAGCCAATTTTATGGAAAGGCTACTTTATGAACCTTTAAACCCTGTTACTTTTTGTCATGGGTGATTATTCACACAGCAGCAGAAAACTTTCTACATGGTGAAAAACGTGTAGGCAGTGCACCACTGATGACCCTCCTGTCTGAAACACACTGCGAACCTGTAAATCATTTTCAGAGTAAATGAACACTGAGAAAATCAGGAGCATGATAATATCCAAAAAGTTTTACTCATATAATTAGATGGTTGCCTTGACTGAAACATGTTCCCTTTACATGTTAGACACTCTGTGAGAGTTTCACACAGAAATATAAAAAATACCAAGCATTTCAGTGTAGTTAAAGCTTAGAGAGTTCAGAATCAGGACTTATTCAACTCAAGACATCTGTTTGTATTCCCTTGTACTAGATTACAAATGGTATTTTTATTATGTGGTTCATAAGATAAAGATTTGTGTTAGAGAAAAAAAATCCTGTTTTTTTTTTTTGTGAGGTTGGAATGGATTCCAGCCACTGAGAGCTCTATGGCTCCCTGATGACCAGACTGCCAAACCAGGCAACCCATCTGTCTGAGGGTTAACTATTGGCACATATTAGCTGACAGGTTGTCTTGAAAAGTGTTAAGCAGTGTCATACGGATTGATTCTTTCATCCATGTGGTGAAAGGATTACTGGTGCTGGCTCCCATTATCCACACAGAACAACCCACTGATTTTGGAACAAGGTGTTTAAAAGGCCAAGCTGTTGATTAAATACACTGATGTGTTCATACAACAGTATTAGGTAGGTTCCAGTTTTCATTCTTACACAGAAATCTAGTAACTCTTAGATGTGAAGGTGAAGAAAAGCTAGATATGAAATATTTAAATGTTTAAAAATATATTATTAGCTGCTGATGGTCTGATCTGTTCAGTCGGTTCCCAGTTGAACATATGTTCTTAAACTGGGAGTGCAGAAAGGAAAAACTTGTCTTTTAAACAGTTGCTTCCTTTACATTATAATCACTATCCCTCGTTAGTTTCTTTATTAGTCCCTCTCCAGAGTGTGTGTTTATGAGTGAGTGTCTCCATGTGTTTAATTAAAAGCAAATGGAGGCAAAACTGTGGGGGGCACAGATTGCTGCCATATGCCTCAAAGACTGTACCACATCCAAGGTGTAGAACGGTGGGCAGATAATCGGAGAGGAGCGTCTGGATGCTAGCTGCCACAGTCGGAGCAGCAGATAAATTAGAGAAATGAAGGGATCCCTTCAGTCTCAGTCGGTCAGCTGATGCTTTCAGGGAGAGGAAAGTTTGTCATTGTATGAAACTGAGGTGCTGTGAATGCAAAATGTTTCCATTTAATTTAGTTTAATTTAATTCCATTTAATCAAGTCTATACATGTTTTAATATATAAAAAAGTATATGTTACAAACACAAGTTTAGCAAATAATAAGCTACATATTTTAATACTCTTTACTAAAAAAAAATCAGTTTGATAGTGACTAAGAATAGTATAATTATCAAAAAATATTTGAATATTTAAGATACGGCAAATATTTGAATATTTTAATGCCATCATTACAAAGATTGTTTTTTTTGTTTTAATGTGTTCCCTTTTAAAGATTTGTGTTCTTTTCTGTTTGATAGAATTACTCTACAATAGTTTTCGAAACTTTTTTCCCTCTCCTTCTGATAGAACTGGTTGGTCCTCCAAACCAAGTATTGCCAACAACACTTAGAATAGAGCCTTATGATCGGCAGTCCAGGACATCAAGCTGCTATGTCAGCAATAAGGCGTTAATATTAGGATTTTTGTCTTATTCAAAGATACATTTGTGTACTACATGTGCGTTTGAGCCAGGGTCTATGAAATGTAATTATGGTGGAATAATGACAATTCTTATATTTTTGCCCCAGCTTTACTGTTCTCGCTCATTTATTTTTGATGCTCCTTCAGTTTTTTTTTTTTTACAGAACAATCCCTGAATTATGTTTTGTGTAGTGCATCAGTCTTTTTGTACTGAAGAGCACCACCATCCTGTCATAAGAAGCATCTCCAAAAATTAAGGTATTGCAAACTGCAAAGTACTATTTCAGAATATGACTCTTTCATTTTTATGAGGCTGAATAGCTGAAAATGATGGTAATTTTAGAAGAAGAAAAGGTTTTAACAATGTCCCCAGTCAATGTTGAGACATTTAGCTAGTTTAGGTCATTCTAACTGATCTAACTGACATAGATTGATCTTGATTTAACATAACAATGTGCCTGTTTATAAATTACACTCAAACTCATTGTTTTAACTGCACACTCCCAGAGATCACTACAGTAAATATAAAAATAATCTATTTGACGCCTTCTACAGTGGCACGCCTTGTCAAACAGTGTAGAATCTGAACAGATAGGCTGTTCAGTAATTTCACTTCAGCTGCCCCCTAATGTCTTTCAAAGGTTTCTATTGGTCATTAGGTCCAAATCAGTCCTATAAGAGAACAAGTAGTGAAAAGGCAATGGCACTCCCTGCCAACCAACAAAATCTGACTATTTGTCCAAATCACAGATATAATTCTATGGACATGATATTTTTGGTCCCGACTCATGAACTTAAAGAACCACATTTTTACCTGCTGCCATGTGAAGGCGACTGTGAAGGTAGTGATGTACAGCCGCCTTCAGCTGTTTTTGAGGAATGGCTTCAAATTACAGCACCCACAGTAGCTGAAGAACATTTTTTTACAAACGCTCTCAAGCAACTTGTCTTTCAACAGCAGTCTCTCCCTGATTGGCCTTACTGAATAAGGAAGCATGTGACTAGGCCAAATGAGGCCTCGCTGCACCATCTCCATCATGTGTATTCAATTACTGTGGCAAGAATGCACAACCACAGCAATCTTCAAGTCAGAAATCACGTTTACAAGGCCATATGTTGCAGTTCTTTAACGTATGCAACTTCAAAGAGATATTTTTTCCCCTCTTACATGGGCTGGTAATCCCCATGTTCTTACACCGTATCTTAAAATGTCAGGTATAATCACTTTGTAAGAGTCAGGAGGGCAGAGTTGGATTTTCCTTCCCTTACAGAATCCCCTCTGTTTCACCTCACTGTTTAAACCCAATGTCCTGCGTGATGGGCTCACTACTGTCCTGAGGTGGATGACTTAATATCCTGTGACAGCAATCCTGTTGTCCATCTGTCTCTTTTCTCCTCTTTTCTTCAATTAAAATGACATTTAAACAG